TCTTCTTTCTCTGATCCAAAGGAGGTATTTTGACATTTGATGGCACAATTAGTTGGCCATCTTTGACAAGTAAGTCAAAAATCTCGTCACATTTAGTGACATCGAAGGTATAAACCTTCTTTGGAAATTTGTCACTTTTCTCATTTTCAACAATGTCTTTCCCTTTTGTGGGAACTAACAATTTGCAGGAATAAGGCGGGGCCTGTTTTAATTCAGCGAGGTCGATTTCGACCTCTTCGAATTCGAATTCAGGATATTCTTCTGCTTCCTCAGTCCCAACATAGGAAATCCTTTCTTTCTTGCTATTCTTAAAGACTCTGGCTTTTTCGGCCTTTAGTCTTTCGACCTGTCGAATCCTATCGGCTAATTGAGCCATATCCCTCAAATATTGAGTGTCTAGTTTCTTTCGAATAGAATAATCCAAGCCACCAGCGGCCATTTCGACTAACTCATGTTCAGGCACTACTGTGTAACATCTGGATTTCAGAAGCCTAAATCTATTCAGATAATCATCTATGGGTTCGGTGAACTTTCTCTTAACACTGGCCAATTCCTTCAAACTTATTTTCGACTGTCCCATGTAAAATTGTTCATGGAATAATCTCTCTAAGAGAGCCCAAGTGTCAATGGACCCAGGGGGCAAAGTGGTAAACCATGTGAAGGCGTTTTTTGTCAAGGAACTTGGGAAGTATTTGATCCTGAGATCTTCATTATTGGCTATATCTCCCGCTTCGGTTAGATATCTCGCTATGTGTTCGACTGTTGACTCATTGGTATCCCCAGCGAACTTTGTAAATTTAGGGACTTTATATCCCCTTGGTAAATCAGTATGCATTATGCAATCCAATATAGAAGAAGCGTAATTTGGCCTTCTCATTCCTGTGTTGAGGCCATTCTGGGCCATGACTCTCTCTATCATGGTGGTTAGGTTGTTTTCTGCCAAGATGTTATCGTTTCGAACTCTATGAACGACAGCATCGGCATCTTGATTTCGACCAACCAAAACAACTCCCCTAGGTTGTTCTTCTCGAAACTCTAGGGCTTCTAGCCTTTCGACCCTTGCCCCTGGTTCCATAATTTCCCTTTGTGGGCCCGGGATTATTGGGGCTTCTAACCTTGGTGCCCTGGCCCCTAAGTTAACTTCCTCTCTGGGTGGTCTATAAATTGGGTCGTTAGCAATTTGTTCTATAACAGGCATGTTTGCTCGAAATCCCGCCTGATTCTGCCTACGCCTTTCTGGGGGAGCAAAGAAATCTGCTATTCGACTCATATTGTCAGTGTTTTCTCTGTTTGTCACAGTCACATTTTGCACTATTGGGGCAAATATCTCCTGCATGGTTTGTGCTAACACCCCTATCATATTATGGTTACTGTCATCCATCAATTGCCTAAAAGCCAACTGGTTGTCTGTGGTTAAGATAGGCATTATGCTATAACCCACTGACCCTTGGTTATTTGTCATAAACTGATTCTCCCCTGACCCAGACCCTAGTTGTGGAGATGAATTCGATGTGGAATTGTGTAAACCTGCCATAAAAGATGTTGGCATTCCATAAGAGGAATTTCTGGTTCTATTTCCATCGAAACCGGGTGGTCTAGTTAATGGAGTGGCGAAATGGGATTGTGTCCCTGATGGTGGAACGAATCCCCCAGGGTAACCAATGGTTCCAGTATTTCCTAAGATCGAACTATTAGTTGATATGCCACTTACTCCATTGGTGGTTATGTTACTGGTCAAAGATGCAACAGACTGTGCATTCGAAGGGATTACATTAGATGTTCCGATCGAAGTGGACGCATTAGTGCCTGTTGTATGTGGGCCATTTTGGTCCCCTTGTTGATTGTCAGAATTAGACATTTTGTCCAAACATTTTCTTCTGGATAAAGGTTGGTTGCTGTTGGTTATCTTACCACTTCTCAGGTTCATAAAACAGCAAACTTCTTAGGTTCCAACGTTTTTGTAATGGTTATGTCTCAACAATCCTTTGATTTCCAATATCCAATTATTGGTCCCACCGGGTGTGCCAATTTGTTTCCAGTGATTTCTGGTAAACAACCGCTAGTCTTCCAAACTATCGAATAATCTTTCTGACTGTTATTCAATTCCTCTGGTAACTCACAGGATCGACTAGATTGATCCTAAGACTCATTGGATATTAAGGTTACTCTCACGATCGAACAGATATTCATGGTTGATATTGTATATGTGTTTGGCTTATTTCGATTTCTCTCTCTAAAAGTCTAAAGATGTAATCAAAATGTGTGTGTGAAACTAAATTGCATGAATAAATGCTAATTGTAAAGACATGTAAAATTGCATAAAAGTGAAGTAAATGGTTTCGAATTATAAAACAGTTAATATAAAGGATTTCTGGAACATAAAAGGTTTGAAATATGAAGAAAGCGTTTAAGGCAAGAAATCTTTAAATGACTTTTAAGTAAAAATGTGCGTTCGAAGGTTAAGACTTGAAGGTAAATGTATGGAAAATATGACAGTTTTCTGAAATATAAAGTGCTTGAATATGAAGAAAGCATTAAAATGTAAAACTTTGAAGAAGAGATTTCGAAGTAAAAAGACTGTAAATGAGAAAACTTGTAAATGCTATTTGACAAAAGGATAAAGGAAAGTGCTGGGAATGGTAAAAGGTTTTCATTAAATCAGAAATACATGGTGCTATCATACATACATTTCTCTTGCATTCGTTTCCCTTGCCATGTGGTAGTTTGAATGTTACTGAGTATTTTGTATAATAGATATGACACCCGAAATCCTAATACTAAGACTCTTATTTATACTAATTCGACCATAACGGTCTTGCTACAGGATTATGCCACGTTCAGAACATGCAGGACAATGCCTCTTTCTTCTTTCCACGTGTCCCAAAATGCTCCAGCACATAACTTTCAAACTTCGAATGTCCCGCTTCCATTTGAATTTCAAATACTTTGGTACTTCTCCGTTTCGAACGCTCTTCCCAGACAACAACCTTGTTGTTATTTCGAGACTTCTTTTAGATATGTTCCCATAATTGCCACTCGAAGCTCCAAGCTTTGACATGCTTATTCGAAACACTACTTCTGCTACTTCGAAACATGGCTCTTTACCTCATTTCGATCGAAACGTTTAATTCATTTGGCTTCTAATATCATTATCAAAATCTTCAGCCAACAGTATGATAAAAGAACATGAGACAATTATGATAGAAAAATACATAAATTTATGATAAAAAAGATAAATTTATCATTCTTTTTACATTTCTATAATTATGTATTATCATTTTATTTAATTAGTACACATAACATGAAGTTTTATCATCGCATCAAAATAAGTTTTGTCTCTTTATAAAAATGTAGAAAATAATATTCATTAATTGTAATTATTATAATAAAAACGTAGAAACTTTTAAGTATTTGACTAGAGTTGTCATACATTTTGTATCTATGAGATACCAGCTATTGACTGGTCTTTTTAATGTCTATTTTATTGTAACTACGAATCAATGCTTAAAAATGGGTGCATACTATTAGCATATATTTGTAACTATGTCAATGTTAACCAATTGAAGAATGAATTCAAACTTTACAAATGATGATTTGGTAGACATGTAATATGAATCTAGATGGGACTCGTGCGACAGCACGCGTTTCTGACTAGTTTGACATATTTAGTCTTAAGTCTTTTAATTAAAATTAAGGTTTCGCTTTAGTCTCTTAATTAAAAAAACATTATAAGGTAGTCTATTGATTTTATTTCAGTTATCTTATTTGATTTATTTTATCAATTTTTGTCAAAAAAAAAAAGTTAAGTTTTGATGACGTGGATGTATGATAAAGTTCAAAGTCTAAATGTGACTATGTATTTGTACCATAAAGTACGATTCTCACTTAAGTAAGTGTCATAAAGATGATTATAATAATACTACATTAAGTGAAAACTCTATTTTATAGTATAAATGATAAATCACATTTAGACCTGAGTCTTGTTGTACATCCACAATAATAGAAGTTAAATTTTTTTTACTATAAATTGACATAAATGACCAAATATGGTAACAAAAGTGAAGTTAGTCAATGGATTAACTTATAATATTTTTTAATTAAAAAATAAAAATAAACATTAGGAACTAAAATATTTATTAAGCCTCATTATCTATATTTTAATAAATAATATCAACATTTTTCTATGTAATAGATTTGTATAATGGAAGTTTTGTTAAGAATAAATCAACGGTCAGACTAGAAGAGTTTGTAGGGACCGAAAGTCCGAAACCTCGGGACAATTTGATTTTTTTGCATGTTTTTAAAATAAAACAGTTTTTTTAAAGAGGTGTTTTTAGGATTAGTCTCATAGAAGACAAATTGAGTATCAACCATAAAATTAAACCAATAAGCAGTATTTTAGAAACAACTAATAATAGATTAATTTAGTTTATAATAATATTAAATAAATAAGAAAATAAAAATGTAGTACAATATATGTGTAATTTGGTTCATTTTAACAAAATAATCGCAATTTTGAATATTAGTCGGGATATCCTCAGCAAGCAACTGCACTAATCCCTCAGGTCTTGTATAACTCAACTCTCCCTTAAGAGATTTAACACTATTGTATTTCCAGTATTTCCAGAAATATCTTGTAGACCCACTCCATCTCTTCCAAGTACTCTTGAGTATCAAAATTTTGATTTAATCCGGGTGATTTTCATTAAAAAACATTCAATAATATTTAATTTTGTATGGTTTTTGATTTTTTTATCACTTTATAATTTTTTATTTGAATTTAAACACCCATAATATGAACTTACTTCAAGAACAGTTCATTGTCCAAATGGATACATCTGATGCAAAACCTTCAATGGTTAAAAAACTTACAGCAGCTACATACATAGTACTAGTTTCAATCTGTCACATACTGTGTGATGATACCATTACAAATCATAAGTCAACCACTTTCTTGAATTTTCGAATGGCATTTAACACATCAAGGGAAAATCTACTTGTTACATTCTCTGAGCCTCTTCATAGATGGAACTGAAGAGGGGAGTACTAAGATACCTCTCACCAAAACTAGGAAATATAACCTTCAAATATGCAAAATAAGAGGGAAAGAAAGAGTCAGCATTATGAATGTGAGAACAATTTATAACGTAAAGTAGCAAAATAGAACATCTAAATGCATGTACACACTTCTTTTCCAAATTCCATTCTATCCATATCAACATTTAAAGCAACTTGCCTATACACACATAAATTGCACAAGAGATAACCATCCTAAACAAAATGAAATTGTGAAACATATTAAGAAATTAACTCTCACCGCTATAAGTTTTCCATTATTTTCAGGCCGTTTTGCCAAAGTTATGGCAGCTGCTGCCGCAGTTCCTGAAGAAATCCCAACCTATAAAGAAATTTGAAAAAACATTATAAAATTTAGGTATGTTTATTTTAACCCAGATATCCATAAATTAGTCCATAATCAGCATCAAAATATGAAACATAAAACAGATTATATAATTAATTTAAATTATAACAAACCAGTAATCCTTCTTCCAATGCTAATTTCCTTGCCATTTCATTAGATTCAGCATTGGTAACCTGTATCAAGATGATTTAATATGCAAAATAATTTGTATAAGTTAATATTAAAGATAAAAGAAAATAGCTATGACACTGCACAAAGAACCTAAAGAAAGCCACCAAAGCCACAACTAAACAACTTAATCATATGAAGATAACTGCATAGTATTGCCTTAAATAATACAAAAACAAACAATATGACCCAACAGATTTGTCTGACCATAAAATTTTCCATTTACCTTAATGACCTCATCAAGTAGTTTGACATCCAAAATGCTTGATACGGAACCTGCAACAAACTCAACAAGTCAACAATTGATAAGAAATTTGTGTAAGGTGTATATGAAGGGGGAGTGTTATGAATCAGTGGCAAGATGAAGACCAAACTGATTGGGATGGCCCCATTGAGGAGGAAGATGTTGGTGTAAGGTGATGAAATTGAGGAAGAAGAGAGAAAATGATGAATGATAAAAGGCTGCTACAAATGATTGAAAAGGGATTGAATAATATTAATGAAACCTAGTACACTTATTTATACACAAAGATAGCAAAGATAAGAATGCCACATAGACCCTAAGAGAGAATCAAATATAGCAAATACTAAATTACCCTTTAATAGAAGAAACAATTGCAGTGCCTAAGTTAAGGCCCAAGAGGAATTCAACTAGGCCTAAGCATCTCCAAGATTATGTCATGCCAAAAGTGAAGAAAGAAAGTAGGAAGAGAAATTGAGAGATCTTAAGAATATTCCTTGTAGGACTCGCCAAGTTTGTTATGAGATGAGTCTTCAATGTTTGTTAGAGTGCTATTGGATTAGGTATCACTTTAGCACATGAATAAGATACTAGGAATTGAATGATAGTAGTTGTAGCTTTCTGTTAGCAAAGCTTGCATTTCCTTACCATAATCAAACAATATTCATATCGGGGAGAAACAAGAAAAAGTAAGAACAATCATTCACAAATTTTGGAAAAGATCATACCTGGATTGTCTCCTACGATTGTACTTGTATAGACTATACTTCCATCCGCAGGTCCCACCCCAACCACCTAATTAAAAGCATATACGGCACAATTTAATGCTTGGTAAAGATAGTACAACAGATAACGCCTCACCTGCACTTTAAATATGCAGAGATAATTTTGAAACATATTATTGAGAAAATCTCAAGTTCAACATTGGCTAGATATAGTATCTAAAAAGTTTATATAGAATTACACCTCTCACCTTACGAGCTAGTTTGTAGGGATGAGATAGCCCCAACCGACATACTCTAATATGGTATCAGAGCCTATCCTTGGAAAAGGTTTATATAGAGTGTCATCTAACCTTACAAGCTGGTTTACAATGGATCCAAGAACACATAGCATAGCTAGCGTTATTAATAGTTATCAAGAATGCTGGAAAACTCCATTGGAGCAAAACAGAAGAAACAGAATTCCAACAGAATTCTAACTGTATGCAAACAGAAAAGAATAAGGCAAGCAAAGAGTAAAGTGATTACTGTTGCATTGAATTGATCAATTAAAACTGTACAAGTGGTCATTATATAATGTATGCATAAGCCTAGATTAAATAACAGCCATTGGATTAAGATAATAAAATAGAAAACTAATCTATTATCTAAGCTAAGAGGCCCCCTCAAGTTGGACTATGGATACTGCATAGACCCAACTTGGACAAAATGGAGGACAAAGCTGGAGAATGTAATGGCTTAGTAAACATGTCCGCGAGCTGATCCACTGTAGAAATAGGCAAAAGGTGCAAGAGCTTGGACTGAATCTTCTCACGTATAACATGGCAATCAATTTCTATGTGTTTACTACGCTCATGAAATGCTGGATTGTGAGCTAAGTAGATAGCTGACTTGCTGTCACAATAGACTGAGGCAGGTTGAGGCAAAGTGATGGTGAGATCTTTGAACAAATACTGAAGCCACTGAAGCTCACAAGTCAAGGATGCTAGGGCACGGTACTCTGCTTCAGTTGAAGAACGTGACACTGTGTTCTGTTTCTTGGACTTCCAGCAAATGAGAGACGTGCCGAGAAGAACACAAAAACCAGTTGTTGACCTGCGCGTATCTGGACATCGTGCCCAGTCAGAATCAGCAAAACCATACATTTTAAGAGCACTATTAGAAGAGAACAAAATGCCTTTGGTAGGAAAACTCTTCAAATATCTTAAAACCTTAATGGCAGCCTGATGATGTGGAAGTAAGGGATGAGACACAAACTGACTTAACTGTTGAACAGCATAAGAAATGTCTGGCCTAGTATTAGTAAGGTAAATCAATTTACCAATCAACTGTCTATAGGAAGAAGGATCCTGCAAAGGCTCACCAGTAGAAACAGAAAGTTTCAAGTTAGGATCATAAGGTACAGAAGATGGTTTGCAAGCAAGTAAACCTGTCTCCTCTAAAAGCTCAAGAGCATACTTCCTTTGATTCAAAAAAATACCCTTAGAGGACCTTGCAATTTCGAAACCTAAAAAGAACCTCAATTGACCAAGATCCTTGATCTTGAATTCTTTGTCAAGAACATTTTTAACAAACTGAATTTCCTGCAGTGAATTCCCAGCTAGGACTATGTCATCAACATAGACAAGTAAAGCAGTGAAACTGTACTCAATAGATTTGGTATACAAAGAGTGATCTGCTTGTGATTGAGAGTACCCCAAGGAAAGAAGAAACACAGAAAGTCTAGAGTACCATTGTCTACTAGCCTGCTTTAAACCATACAGTGACTTTTGTAGCTGGCAAACCTGAGTAGAATTGGAAACAGGGAGACCAGGGGGAACTGACATATATACCTCCTCATTCAAGTCACCATGCAAGAATGCATTGTTTACATCCAATTGTTCCAAGTGCCATCCCTTAATGGCAGCAATGGATAATAATACTCTGACAGTGGTGATCTTAGCAACTGGAGAAAATGTGTCAAAATAGTCAACTCCTTCAAGTTGAGTATATCCCTTGGCAACAAGCCTAGCCTTATACCTCTCTATAGACCCATCAGCTTTGTATTTTATTCTGTAAACCCATCTACAACCAATGGGAACCTTTCCATGAGGCAAATCCATTACAGTCCAAGTGTGATTCTTAGCAAGAGCCTTTAACTCATCATCCATGGCATTTTTCCAACAGTCCTGCTTAATTGCTTGAGCATATGTTTTGGGTTCAATATTGGTAGAAATAGAAAAACAGTAGTTTTTGTAAGCAGGAGAATAGAGTTTATAAGAGAGAATAGAAGAAAGAGGATATGTAATTTTAGAGGAAGAAGGTTTAGAATGAGATGTAAGAGTGGAATAACAGTGATAATCAGATAAGTAGCTAGGAGGATTGGAAGTTCTGCTGGACTGCCTTATAGGAGGAATAGGAGTAGGGAAGGCTATGGACTGATTAGACAACTCAGGAGAAGAGACAGGAGGATTCTGATTTTGGTCAGAAGGCACAGGAAAAGATGTGGCAGTAGAAGGACTAGATGTACTAGAAGAATTGTGAGGGGATGTAACAGCAGAGGGACTAAAGGGTAAAGGGGATATAGGATTATAGGGAGATTGAGGAGTACCACTGCTGTCAGGAGAAGTACTAGGAACAGAAGGGGAAGTCAAATCAGTGTTGCTATGGTCAATAGCATTGTTAAATAGTGATGGCATGTCAAGAAAGTCATTTAGGACAGAGGCAGGAATAGAGGAAGGAGAGGATGACACAGAAGAAAGTTTGAATGGAAAGACATTTTCATAAAAGATGACATTTCTAGACACAGAAATAGCATGATTGTGCAGATTGTAAACTATGTACCCCTTTGTACCATCCTTAAAGCCAAGAAAGATAGCTTTGTGAGCCCTAGGATCAAATTTGGTCCTATGTGCTTGCAAAGTAGAAACAAAACATAGACAGCCAAATACCTTTAAGTGTATGATGGAAGGTGGTTGTTTAAACAAAATTTCATAGGGAGACTTTGATTTTAAAAGGGGTGTGGGTAGTCTATTTATAAGGTGAACAGCATGTTGTACACAGAAGTTCCAAAGAGATAAGGGGACATTGGAATGAAAATATAAGGCTCTAGCAATGTTTAGAATATGTTGGTGTTTTCTTTCAACTACACCATTCTGTTAAGGAGTCTCAACACAAGATTTTTGATGCACAATTCCTTTGGATGAAAGGAAATCAGCAATGGTAAGGAATTATGTACCATTGTCAGACCTAAGGCACTTAAGAGATGTTTTAAGCTGAGTTTCAATGAGAGCTACAAACTGAATGAGGCTAGCTCTAGTTTGATCTTTAGTGCTGAGGAAAATGACCCATGTAAACTTGTGTAATCATCTACTAATGTTAAAAAATATTTGTGACCAAGAGTAGACACAGTGGAGAATGGCCCCCATAAATCAGCATGCAAAATATCAAATGGAGCATATGAAACAGAAGTACTAATGGGAAAAGAAAGCTTCTTTTGCTTTGCAAAGTGACATGAGTCACAAGGATCCAATTTTGAATTACAATTAATGAAAGGAAAAGCTTTAGAGATTTCCTGTAATCCTAAGTAAGGCACATGACCTAATCTTAAGTGCCATGTATTACAAGATGTATTATTGACAAAAGAAAAAACAGAATTAGGTCTTGCAAGCTCAAGAGTATAGAGTCCCCTTTGCACATTAGCTATACCAATCATTGCCTTGGAATGATTCTGCATAATGTGACAAGAATTAGCATGGAACTGAACAAAACAATTATTGCTATCAACAAGCTTAGCAATAGAGACAAGATTAACATGAAAACTGGGGATAAACAGGACATGATGCAGAGTTATGGAGGGAGAAAGAACAACAGTACCAGCTATGGAAGCAATTATTTGAGAGCCATTAGGTAAATTTACAGGAATAGGAACAATATTTTTATGATCAAGAAATAGGCTAATGTCAAAGCAAATATGGTCAGTAGTACCAGTATCAAGGATCCAAATGTTAGAATTCTTACCATTAGAGCCTGACTGAAAATTCAAGGCAAGAGGAGAAGTTGAGATGGAATTAGCATGGGAATTAAGCTGTGACTGTTGTAATAGGGCCATGATGTGAGTGTATTGCTCTTGAGTAAGGGCACAAGAGGATGCAGGGGAAGAGCCTGTAGATTGGTTCTCAGAGGCAGTATTGGCCATGGCAATTGGCTGAAAAGTATTAGAAGAACCTGAAGCCTTGTTTTTGCCTCTATATCCAGGGGGAAATCCATGCTTCAGAAAACAAGTTTCTATGGTATGGTTAGTCCTATTACAGTGAGTACAAATCCTAGCATGACCTTTAGGACCAGTTCCTTGAGATTTCCATTTAAAGTTGCCATAGCCAGGTCTACTATTGTGATTACTCTGAGCTTGAACATTCAAAGCTGTGGCCTCATCAGTGTTATCAGTAGGGGACAGACTATTAGAGATAGAGCTATTCATCTCTCTTTCTTGTTGAATGACAAGAGAAAATGCCTTATCAATGTTTGGCAATGGGTTCAGCATCATAATCTGAGATTTTGAATGCGTGAATTTGTCATTCAAACCTTTCAAAAATCGAAGCACATAGTCTTGTTCCCTATAACGCTGAACAGAAGCAATAGCATCGCAAGAACATGGAATAGCACAAGTACAAACAGGTATGGGGCGATAATTCTCAAGTCCATCCCATAAAACCTTCATTTGAGTAAAGTAATTAGAAACGTCGAGCGTACCTTGACGAAATTTGTACAATTCCTCCTGGATGTCTGAAATGCGAAAGATATCACCATGAGAAAACCTAACTTGCAAGTTCCTCCAAACACCAGCAGCATTGTCGATCCATAACACTGACTTCGCAATTGACTCGGAGATAGAGCGTTGGATCCAAGCAAGAACCATAGTGCTACACCGAATCCAAGAAGCATAGAGTGGATCAGATAGCGGTGGTTTGGGGAGAGATCCATCAATGAATCGGTCTTTGTTCTTGGATATCAGCGCTATCTGCATCGATCGAGCCCAAACGTGATAGTTCTTGACGTCGAGTGGAGGCGAAACAAGCACCAGTGTTGGGTTTTCATTCGGATGTAAATAGAAAGGATTTGCGGAATTTGTAGAAAAATCTACATAGCTCTGGTAAGCCATTGAAACAGAAGAGGAAGCTCAAGAGAATGCGCGAGCAAAAAAGAAAGAAAGCAAGCTTCGCTTAGAGAAGAATGGCTACCAGAGCTTGATAAGCTCTGATACCATATCAAGAATGCTGGAAAACTCCATTGGAGCAAAACAGAAGAAACAGAATTCCAACAGAATTCTAACTGTATGCAAACAGAAAAGAATAAGGCAAGCAAAGAGTAAAGTGATTACTGTTGCATTGAATTGATCAATTAAAACTGTACAAGTGGTCATTATATAATGTATGCATAAGCCTAGATTAAATAACAGCCATTGGATTAAGATAATAAAATAGAAAACTAATCTATTATCTAAGCTAAGAATAGTATAGAATTTAAATTCCCAGCCTGATATAATGAATTATGTGTCGGAGGCCAACAAGTTATTCAATTTGAATAGCAAAATGCATATGAAGGAATAATCAAACCTTTATGTTAGTGTTCATCGATTTTAGATAACTTCCAGTCCCTTCAATAGTGCCGCCAGTTCCAATAGAAGCCACCAATATATCAACTTTACCCTTGGTATCCTTCCATATCTCTGGCCCTGTAGTTTTGAAGTGGATCTGCAATAGTTTATGCATATAAATCTTAATAACATGTAAATGAAGTCGTTGTGTAACTTCTATCTTCACGTCATTAAACTTAAAACACAGGTAAATAAGAGGTGAAGGTCTCATTTGAGATGGATTGAGAATTAACCTTTGCATTATTACTGTTTTCAAACTGCCGAAACATGTAAGTATCGGGTGTGGCGTTGACAATTTCTTTGGCTTTGTCAACAGCCCCTTTCAGCCCTTTCTCTGCATCAGTCAACACAATCTCTGCACCAAACGAGCGTAAAAGAATTCTCTTCTCAATATTAACGGAGGCAGGCATTGTGACTATCAGTTTATACCCCTTAGTTGCTGCAACAAAAGCAAGGCCAAGTCCGGTATTTCCAGTTGTTGGTTCAACTAAAACAGTCTGCACAAATTCAGAATCAAGAAGTTAAAGAAAATCTGCTTTGAACAAATCAATACATCATATAATACAATAATTTTTTAGAAAACACAAAAATCTTCACAGCATACCTTTCCGGGCGTAATTGCTCCATTCTCTTCGGCATCACATAACATACTATAGCCAATTCTGACATTTTGAACAACAATAGAAGTACTTAAGATAAATTAGATATTACGAAATTTATTTAAAATATGAACTTTATGATGAGTTGAAATGAAATTACCTGTCCTTGACACTTCTGCAAGGCTCCATTGATTCAAGTTTTGCAGCAACCTTTGCTTCAGATCCCTCTGTAACTTTGTTCAGATATATCATCGGTGTATTTCCAATCAACTGCATTAATTAGTTTCTAACAATCATTCAATTTTTCAAATAAATATGATTATAATCATAATTATAATTAATAGTTGAACTCAACTTACTTGAACTAGTTAAATTAAACATGAAAAGAGTTAAAAAAAAAAAAAGAACTATAATATATTAACAATTTTATTGTTATAATAAAATACACAATTTTATAAAATAAAATAAAAATCCAAAATAGATCGGTGTTTTCTTTTAAAAGTAAGATATATTTTACAATATAGTGTGCGTTTAAAAAGAAATGATTAAAATTAATACTGATTCAAAATTAATAATTGAGTACCTGAGTGACATCTTCGGCGATGTTGACGCCGTCAAGCCCTTTTCTGGTGGTAGAGTAGAGTGGCGGAGTGGAATCGGTGGCGGTGGCGGCAATTGTTCGCCGGAAACGGATGTAGGGTTTGGTGTTGCTGTGGAATTGAGTAGTGAAAAGGCGTGTAGGAGGAACAAGTGTTGTAGTAGGAGCTGAAAAGCATGAACATGGCGATGATGAAGATGATAGCGCCATTATCCTCTTCAGATTTATCCTTTGTTTTAAAAATGTTTATTCTTCAATTATGTATTGCAGCCCAGATTTGGGATATTCTTCAATTATGTATTGCAGCTCAGATTTGGGATAAAATATTAGCTCATTTTACATGTGCTAAATGGAAAATACTTCCATCATAATTACAATTTAATTATGAGACAAACAAAGAAAAGAATACAAGATAAATAATTTCGGCAGAATTTCTCTCTGCTCACAAGCTTTGAAAAAAAATTTATTCACTTGCAACTGCAAATTCTATAAATATAATTGTTTGACTTGTTTACAAAAATAGGGTTTCTCTCTATTTATAACTAAGCTTACACCTAAGCCCAAAGTTCAAAATATCTTTTTGTTACTAATCAAATCTAATTTATTCTAAATTTAAATCAAATTTATTTAAATCTAAAACAAATCTAATCTTTTCGACACATAGTTTCGATACACTGGATTGCAATTTAACAATTCGTACAATTATATTTATCCATACAAAATATTTAAAAATAAATAAAATAATCAAATTTGATTCGTTAATTCGATTTTCCTATCACAAAAAGATAGTAATGTAAAATATTTTAGATTAAGAATAACTGTTTAGCCGCTACCTAAAAATCTACATAACATGTTTGTTAAATGATGAACAAAAGAAGTTTTCATTGTATATTAAGAGTCCTCAGATATGAACACTACAATGTCAATGTCACTATGAAAATCACAACTATATTGTAATATAAAAACATTCTAAGAACAAAATCTCATGTACCATATCACCAAAAATTAGCTGGTGCTGGTATAGATTTATGCCCCGTATCTTTATTATTACCATAAAGGGACCTAAAAAATCTCCTAGACCTGTTTGTTTTCAATTTCATCAAAGGAACCTTACGCGAAACAGCTTGCCAAATCATTTGAACCGCATCACTTTCCTTTGAAGGGAACTGAAAATCAAAGAATTTCTCAACCTCTTTCAACCTGTTCCACATTCTTGTCCATTCATCTTTGTCAATGCCCCTAATGAAGTTTATCAGATACTTCTTTTTGAGGGCGTCTCTTGTTCGGACGAATACACAGAACTCTGAGTAGTCGAGGACATCCTCGTATGGAAGCTCAATTTGGTCGCTGATTATGACAGGGACACAGTGACTCGCGATGGCGTCAAATAAGCGATTTGATGATGGCGTGTCGCCTGCTATGTTGAGACAGAATTTTGAAGAACGCATGCCTTCTGTTGATTTCCTTACTCCACCTTTCTGTACACTCCCAAATGAAAAATGTACATCTTTTTCATCTTTTAGAAGATAAAACAGTTCTTGCCTAGCATGGCCTCCCTGTGCATTTGAAAAGCTCAAGTTCAGTATAATTAATTGTTTGTAAGCTAAAAATAAGTTACATGAAAAACAACATATCAAGATAATTCTTAAAACGATATATTGAATCTAAGGTGTAATGTAATGAACCCAAGGTAGCATTTGAGAATAGAAATTCTATGTATATGTAATGAACCTAACGTGGCACCAGGTGAAATCGACTATATGGATCAAATTATGCCATAATGTTTCATCAAAAGCCATGTTTCTATCTATCCAATTAGTTAATCTTGAGATCTTTCTAATAGTTTCTCTTATACTTTTCCTAAGTTGTTTGACTCATTTCCATCTGATCTATTATTCTTACAACATAATCTACAATCTACATGTCTTCTCTCTACATGCTCAAACAACATAAGTCTATTTTCTAATATTTTTTCTACAATAGGTAATACTCCAACACCCTCTCTAATATTGTCATTTCTAATTTATCTTGTCGAGTCTTTCCACGCATCCTCATCTCTACCTGTTAAACATTCGTATAAGCTTGATTGGATAAGTTATCCACAAGTGCATATGGAAAAAAAATAATATTAAACTATACTTGCTGCAATCGTAATAAGAAATTTGAACAATAAAATACCATATAGGATGAAAATATGTTTTGCATCTGAACTCAATTGAGAAGCATGTTAGAAGCTAATCCAAACTAAGCCTAAATCAATTACATCTATTTTAAGAATTTCAATCAATTGTAAAGACTTAATTCTCATCAAAGCTAAAGAAACAACAAAACCAACAACATATACATGAAATGAAAAAGAAAGAAGAACATAACATACATCTTTTCTGTAAATAGCTCCTTGGAAATAAAGCAAAGTGTGTCTGCTATCAAAGCTAGATTGATCATCAACATAAGAACCGACAACATGCTTATAAGGCGCGATCACATCTTTCTCGACATTCGCTATATTGGGAGGGTACCTCCCGAAATCAGACAATATAAAAGTTGCAGGCCACAGTTTCATTCTAGCATCCAACATACTATTCGGATGATGAGCCAGAATCAAATGATCCCTTCCACCAGACCTTTTCCACTCCTCTTGACTCATCAAAAAACTCACCAAATACTCTTGTAACACCCTGTTTCTACTCTTGTTTTCACGTGGACCTCTTTTGGAGAGTCTGTTGTAACTCAAAGAAGAGAAAAACGGCACAAATATGACATCAGCTTCACTCGAGTTCTTAACTCTGATCACCGTTCTTGCATTGTTAGGGTAAATTTGCGGTAACTCTGAAGCGAGAATATCTAATGTTAGCCAGTATTCAATACTGTGTTGTAAATTTAAACCGCCAGGGTAATGTGGTATCTTGGTTTTCATATCAGGAAACACTTTAGTGTTTTTAACATTTTTACCTTTGTCGTCTTTCCAATCTAATAATCCGAAATGAAACTCTGGAGGTAAATCGTACATGAAAATCTTCAATGCAAAGTTGTTGATATAGTTACTATTGTCATTTGACGCGGTGGTAGTGTGGCTGTTGCATTTTACAATCTCTTGTTTTTTTGTGTTAGCGAGAATAGCTCTGTTGCTGAAGTTGGATTCGGAGTTTCGTGATTGAGATGAATCGGGAACGGAATCCGTGAAGGTGGTGGAGAGAAGCTGAGAAATGGCTTCGGATGTAGAATCAGAGCGAGTTGAACGGAGAACGAAGAGCCATGACGTGATGAATAACAACGTTGTTGTTGTGAAGAAAAAGCATAAGGATTTTCTTGAAACGACCTTAATGGCAGAAGCGTTTCTCTCTGGCATTGTAATTGCATCACAAATGTGAGATTAGGATCTGTTTGTGTTACTTTCTTATTTCGACCCACATTTGTTTATGTGTGTTTACGTGAGGGTGTGGGGCCATGGTTGGGAAAGGGGAAATTACAGAGAAAGAAATGAAAAGGAAAATGGAAATGATGGTTTGTGTGTGACAGTGTCAGGAGAGTTGGAAAGGAGGAGGAAGAAGAAAGCGTGAGAATAGGGTCTAAGCGTGGAAGCGTTCTATTCTCTGGTACTAGCTAACAGCTCCATATTCATTTTTCATGTTCTATTGCAATAAATGAATTCTCAACATTATATAAAGTAATAATTATTACTAGTATGATTCACCTAAGTCTTTCACACAATTATTTATAAAATATTAACATTCACATAATTACAAATATTTGTTAATAATATATATTAATTTTTAAATATTGTTTCGTACTTATAATAAATTGTAGAGTCAATTCTCTGACTTTAATTATATAAAATAACAACAAAATAAATATTTAAAAGATGAATATTAAAAAAAAGGTCTACAACTAATATATCATACATACATTCATATATACCCGTAGATATAATGAATTAATATAAAACAACAAAAGAAATATTTAAAAGAGGATGTTTAATAAACTTGTTCAGGACTGGCCTAATAGTTTGAATGGGCTCAGTCTAGACCTTTCTTTTGGTACGGCCCGCACGTCCACGACCCGAACCGCCCGCTATCCGTCGGGCAATATCGACCATTTGTCCTCCCAAGTCAGCACCGGCCTAAGATGATCTACGAGCATCCTCTCAGCCTACTCGACATCAACGTCGTGCAGGCCACCAGGAACCGACCAGAGAGATACCCGTAACTAGCCCCCTCCTCGGAACCAACGACTAGTTACGGGCACATCTTCCCGGTTTGACCAAGTCTTGGCGGTTACCTGATTTTACGGATCCACATATTCAAGCGTGAAATCAGGAACCAATGGCCATGCGCCAGGGGCATTATATAAATCCTCACACTTGTGAGAGCCAGGTATTGAATATTCACTATTCACGACCAATACCTTAATACTTTGCTTGTATCTCCTTGTTTTCACTCTTACTTGATTGTCTGAGTACCTTGCAGATACAACCCCATTTTTCCTCCTCGACATCACAATCCGACTACAGATCATCTTTCGGCCACTTCACAGATTCTGATCAACCGGTAAGATCAGTGATGTCGTCTGTGGGAAACTGATATCCCCATCTTTCTTTCCTCGAAACTTAAAGATCAAAGCAACTTTTCAAGATTCCTCTCACTAATCATGGCCGACCATGATGATCTCCATCTTCCCGGAAAGACTATTCTTTCCCCTGCTCACAAAACTGACGGAAGTCAGGAACATCCTCACCTCGAGGACAACCTGGGCTTCCGAGACGGACAAATTGCATCTCCAGATCCAACTAACGCCCGACACAGTGACGACCAATTCTTGGACAAGGGACACCCCAAGAATCCCACCAAGAAACTGCCAGAAGTCATGCAACCATTTCCCATCCTTCTCAACGCCGACCCGGTTATGACAACACTGCTCGCTGCTATCAATCATACCAACACCCTCATCCTACAACAAAATTAAAGGATAGGGGCCTGGGATAATAGACGATCAAGATATCCTCCTTGGAGAACCCGATGACGAAACTCCCCCAGTATATCACCACCCAGGCGTGGCCTACTACCAAGAAAGGAGAGGACACAATCGCACACCTCCTGCGAGAGATCAAGACTCCCCTTCATTCAAGAAGAGGAAAGAAAATCGGCAAATCAATCGTGCTCGACTGCCTTCGCCCGAACCAAAACAGAAACGGAAGAGCCCCTCCCCCTAACGAGACTATGACGATCGACGGGGAAGAAACTATCACTCCCCTTCTCCATCTCCCGCGGATAGTGAGGATGACAAGCCTCGTGGCCCGCTATCGAGGGAGATTATAGAGGCCCTACTCCCTGTTGGCTTGGAGAAGCCACCTTCATTGGGAACCTATGATGGAACAACAGACCCTGACGAGCACCTCAAGAACATTTATGCCCTCCTCGACTACCGAGGAGTCAGAGGGGCCATCAAATACAAACTCTTCCCAACCACTCTCAGGAAGGGGGAAATGTCTTTGTACAAGAGCCTCCCCGATGAATCCATCACCTCATGGAAGCAGCTTGGGAGGATATTTTCGAGGCATTTCACCGCCTCCCGCTGACACGCGAAATCAGAGGCCTTGCTCGAAGTAATCATCTAGGGCAGAGACGAGTCTCTACGGACGTATATTGAACACTTCAATAAGGAAGTAGTCCAGGTCTCAACCGCCGATGACATGAAGAAATATCTCCTCGAGCGCGGGCTCTGTCCCCGCAGTGACTTTGCCAAAGCTGTAGGAATTGAGATTATGTCCACGCTCGACTCCCTCCTCCTCAAGGCCCAGACGTACATACAGTACAAGGAGAAGGAAGCGGCCAACATCGCCAGGGAATCAAGGCACAGAGAAAGTGTTAAGTCCTCGAAGAACGATGAGCCCTTGACATCCAATCGGGGAGAAAAGAAACGGGAAGATAAGTCATGTGATTCCAAGGACTACAAGGGGCCAGTCGGTCGTTTCCACGACTACACCCCTCTAACGATCTCAGGGGAACGTATTCTTTCTAAATGCGCCAATTCTAAATTTAAGCAAGTCAGGGTGTGCTTCCTCCGACAAACACCGTCCAAACCGGGAACTGACAAAAGCAAATGTTGCAGGTTCCACAAAAGACACGGGCATAACACAGAAGATTGCATTCATCTCAAGGATGCAATCAAAATAATGATTAGAGACGGGGACCTCAAGCAGTATAAAAAGAAGGAGGGCACCCGCGAAGAAGCGCCAGAAACCAAAAACATCGAGGAAGGGAAGAAGTCCCCTGATATCAACTCCATTCCGGTTTCCATGACCATCTCAGGGCCAGAAAATTTCTATTATCTGGGCATAGAGAACGTCCCCATGTACTTCTCCTCCCACGGTCCTTGAGAATCTTTTCCCGCATCTATGATCATCTCCGACGGAGGATTCAACAGGCACACAGTTGGGTCGGTAAAGAGGAGATTCAACTAGCTCATCCAAGCCAACTCAGATATGGACGCCACACTCGATAAATTCCGAGGAGGCTCACATCCCTTCGCCTTCTACAGAGAGGAATTGCCGAGAGGAGCCCCGAATTTGACCATCCCATTACTCGTGAGAGCTTGCATGGAGAATTTCGACGTGCGACGCATACTAGTTGACCAAGTCAGCTTAGTAGACATCAGGTACGCCCAGATGTTCACCACTTTGCAGGTGAATGAGAGCCATCTGACCTTTTATGTGGGATCAGATCTCTAGGGCTTCAATGGAGGCAGCACGAAACCCTGGGGATATGTCGAGCGAATCGTCACCTTCGGGAGAGGGGTAACGGCCAGAGCCATCAAGACCCAATTCCTGGTGGTAGATTCCCCGTCTCTCCACCAGTGCATCTTTGGGAGATCCACTCTCGCCGAACTCATCACATTTCCCTCTACTGTGTATCTCAAAATGAAGTACTACACCATTGAAGGCTTGGTCACCACCCTCCACGGAGACATCCAAGCAACAAGGAGGTGTTTTAAAGCTTCATCAAAGGGCCTCAGTTCTACCAGCGTTTAACCTCGAACGACCACCGGAGCCACACTGCCATCCAGCTCCGAGGAAGTCAAGCCACTGCCAAGGGTCGACACCATTGACCTTAACAGCCGTTTTTCCAAGGAGGACCGTGTCGAGCAAAGAAGGAAGGGAAAGGAGCCTATGGTCGAAGATGAAGGTTCGACCCCCTTTGCATATCACGAAGAACTCTCAAGTCACGCACGGCTAATCCCGGACGGTGACTTCGAACTAGTTCCCCTCGGAGAAGACCCCACAAGAGGAGTGGATATTGGAGCAGACCTCCCCGACCTGGAAAAAAGGCAACTAAAAGCTTGCCTAAGGGAGAATGCTGATCTGTTTGCCTGGAGTGCGGTTGAGATGCCCGGTTTAAATCCAGAAGTTGCATGCCATCACTTGACTATAGATCATGTCCTCAAGGTGTTCGCGCAACATAGAAGAAAGGAGTCGTCCGAGAAAGCAAAGGCTGCAAAACTAGCTGTAAAAGACCTCATAGAGGCACATTTTATTTTTGAAGCCCAGTACACAACCTGGCTCTCAAATGTAGTTCTTGTAAAAAAAATCTAATGAAAAATAGCGCATGTGTATTGATTATACTGATCTCAATCGGGCTTGCCCAAAAGATGCTTATCCCCTCCCCAATATTCACAAATTGGTCGACAACTCGGACGATTTCAAATTGCTATCATTCATGGATGCATACTCTGGTTATAACCAGATCCCAATGGTGAAAACAGACAAAAAATATACTTCTTTTATGACCGAGTCAGGCAACTATTACTACAATGTAATGCCCTTCGACCTAAAAAACACAGGTTACATATCAGCGCATGATGAACAAAGTTTTTCGCAACGAGATAGGCAACATGCTCGAAGTCTATATGGACAACATGATGTCAAGTCCACCGAGGAGCTCGACCATGCCGCCCACTTAAAGAAAGTGTTCGAGCAGGCTCGAAAGTGCCGGATGTGATTCAACCCAAAAAAATGTACCTTCGGTGTACGGGAAGGAAAGTTCCTCGGATTCTACCTAACAGAACGAGGCATTAAGGAAAGCCTCGACAAATGTCGGGAATTTTCCGAATTTTTGACACCCACCTCAAAAAATTCCATCCATATATTGAACGACATGCTCACTTCCCTATCTCGATTCGTGGCAAAGTCCGCCCAACACGCGCTTCCCTTGTTCAAACTCTTGCGCAAGGAAGCCACCTTCGAGTGAACGTCTGAATGCGAGCAAGCCCTCATTCATTTAAAATGATCGCTGTCGCAACCGCCCGTCCTTTCTCGGCTCGAGAAAGACGAGGTCCTCTACCTCTATATGGTTG